CTTTGAAGAAAAATCTGCAAACCTTTCAAGCAGTTTTTATGAGATGAGCTGGCGATTCTGTACATGCAGTTTTTATATTATTAGAGCATTAATGCAGAAAAGGCTTCAGAGTAAGTGTCCTGAGGCCTCTCACAGTAGCTGTCAGGTTGCCTGGTTTGCTTCTTGAAGGACGCGTGAAGTTTTATTCATAGCGAGACTGAAACGCATAAAGCCAAACAGCTAGTTCTTTGAGTCTGACAGTCTGCAGCCCTGCAGGTAATAAAAGAAATTCTGTACTCAACTTAAGCCAAAACAGAATAAATATGATGTTTTTGGAGTTTGTTTTGATGGAAGTCGTGCGGCTAAATTGTCTGTCCATCACTGCGTGAAGGATGCTGCCGTTTTCCGAAGCTGAGTCTAATCTGATCAGGTGTTTTTGGGCGGAGGCGTGCAGCCATTAGAGTTTGATTCCATTTCCTCAGCTGTGAGGGTTTGAAGCAGCAGGCTGATGGAGGCATAAAAGGAAAGCTGCCCTCAGTGTGTAATTACCTGACAAGGCCAGACATTTCTCCTTGTGCGAGAATCTGTTTCTATAGTAACAAAGTGTAGCAGCAAACATACGTCTGAATTCAAACCAAGAACACAGTGTTGATTATACAAAGGTCATTGAGGGATGTTAAGTGGGATGAATATTATGCAGAATTCTGAAGGTCGCTGACGCCTTTCATCAAACTTGTTTCTAATGATCCTTTTTCTGTTTCTCAGGGTTGTTTGTGAAGAATTTCATTCATCATCAGGGCCTTACACAACTTTTCAGCATCGCACTTTAACAAGTTCCAATGTCGACAAGCCTTGAGTCAGAGAGCACGCAGTTCTCCCTTTGTTTCACTTTTGTCTTCGTGTGAGAAGACCCCCTGCAACATTAATGCTGCGCCTCTTTGTGAAACACCAGAACTGGTCGGTCTGTTCAGTTATTGTGTTACCAGCCAGAATTCGAGGTGCTGTAAACAGACGCTGTGGCGTTTCTTTTATTCAGAAGCAAATCATTGCCTTGTGTTGCTCTGATGCTATCAGCCGAGAAACCGTACAAGGTGATTTAAAAAATTAGACATTTTGAAAAGTCTTTTGATTTCCTCTAATTATAAGAATTTGAAATACTTGATTTATTAGAGCAGTTGGAACACCCTGATGTTCATAATAATGTTAGTAACTGTAGTAATAATAATGGCAACAACAGCAAAAAAACCAAAAAACATGTTTTTGAGCAAAATGAAAATGATTTGATGGGTTTTATCTGCAGCTCATCTACGTCGTGCTGAGAAATGTGATACCTGCTTCTGCTTTGTAAAGGTGCCTGAAAATATCTTAAATCTAAACTAGTGCCAGGTGGCGGCTGCTAACCTCATCATAGCACAGGATTTCCTGCGTTGTCGGCTCAAATCAGCTATTTCGTAAGCAAGCAAAAAATGCCATTGCAGTAAACGTTCTCTGTGGAGGAGAAAGAGCAGAGGAGGCAAATTCCCCCAGTCCATTTAGCACAAGTTCTTCCATCTGTGTGTCTGTGACTTAGGGGGGGGGGAGAAATTCATCATCAGCTCAGTGTCTCACAGTACTGATAAAGGTCAGCCTTAGACTGAAGGCAGACAGACAGGCACAGTGTCACTCTTGTCGCTCTTTGACTTGTAACTTTGGGCTTTTGAGAAATCTGCAAAGAAATGGTCAGTATTTTAACTTCTTTTTAAACTGGCTGGATAAACCTAAGGCTTAGAGAAAGACTATTTCTGTGGTTCAAAGTTGGACAAAGATGGAGCTGCAATTTCTTTAATGTTTACTTGCAATTTTGGGGCGAACTGAGGCTATGATTGGTTTATTTTTCTGCAGCTTGTGGCGTTGCAGTGCTTTGACATGAGCTTTTGCTTCCTGTCCTGTTTTAACCACACTGTTGAAGCCTCCCTTGCTGCACAGTTCATATTTATGCACAATCTTCCATCTCGTGGTGGATTGAGGCTGTAGCCTGCAGGTAGACACTCAGCATGTCCTTCATGACCAAAGCTCCGTCGCTGCTTTGATATTCATTATCCTGAACTCGATGTGAACTCAGGAAATTTTTTTTTTAATGTGTGTGTGTGTGAAACTGAAATATTCTGATGGAGCAGCTGTTCAAAGAAGTTGAGCGCACAGTACTTTGAGAGGTTGTTTCTCAGTAGCACTGATAGATTAGAACATGTCATTTGTTCATATAACAAACACAATGGTAACACTGTAAGCCACAATATGCTTAAGCTAACCACAACATGACATTTCTAGATCGGACATGATTTGAAACTAGAGCAGAGAACATTTTTATCTGATCGGCTGAAGCAGCTGAATCGGATGAAATGAGGTTTTAATGACCTCGCATGTTCAGTATCTGTTACATCTGTCACCTCTGAGGCCGTGCGGTCTGCTGTTATTGACCAGGCGTTTTTCTCCCCTTGAAAACTGAGCTGTTAATCAATACAGACGTGGAAAGATTCATTTTTAATAACTCTTTGGTTAATGTTATGCCCACAAGGAAAATATTATAAAGTGTAGATTTGTGTCTTTTAAAGCCTGAATATATTAATATGTCACTGAATGCATAAAAAAATTATAATGTAACTTGCTGCATTTCTTAGTTTTAGTGTGCATGTTATTTATTGATCCCATTTTCACTATAGTTCACTAGAATTTTTAGTTTTATTTTTTACTAACTAAATTTTTTATTTAATTAAAAATTTTGCACTACTTTGTTTTACGGCCTTCAGTGTGGGAGTGTGGTTCTTTAAAGTGTAATGATGCTATTTTCACTTTGAGTCTTTATGCTGCTGCTGTAACAGTAAATAACTGTCAACATGTGAATATCTCACATGAATTCTGTAAGTTATGTCATATTGATTTATTATTTTTAAGTTACTTTTTTTTCTTTCCCTTTCACTGTATTTATTTTTGTCCTTTGAATGTCACCCAACCGAAGAAATGTAACAGAGCCTCAGTCGAGCTGTAAATTATATTTAATGATTTACTATTTCATATGTGTGAGCAGGATTAGTGTAAGTTAGATTTTATTTCTTTTGGATTTTCATACATTTGATAATTTCACGTTTACAGCTCGGAATTGTTGAATTTTGTTGCTCATGAATTTCAGTCTAACACTTCCAATCTGAAAGCTTATTAACAAACTTTATTTTATGGCACTTCAAATGCAAACCCACTCATTTGCATAAAGAAGTAGTGAATAAATGTTTAAAAAATTGATGAGATAAATAATAAACAAAATGTAAGAAGAAAGCATATTAATAGTTATTTATATTGTACAACAAATGTAAATACAGAAAAAGCTAATTTGAGCCTACATTTTATTTAATATTTTTTATTGGATATTAATTTGAGTAATTTTTTAAAAGCACTTTGGTCTATTATATATTTATCCTCTAATTATTTGTTTTGCTCTCCTTTAAAAAAAAGTTAAGTTAAAAATTTTGATTAAAAAAACAAAATCGAAGTACACCCACACAGCAACCTGCACCCACGCTCACTTTCACATCTGAAATAAGACGCCAGACGCTGCGGTTTACTTTAAACACGTAAAAGGAAATATATTTTTTTAAAAACGAAATAACAAAAAAGAACAACATTTCATACAGAAGAGCTGCTTTTCTCATTTGCAGAGGTAATTTACACAGGACTTGAAATGAAGACACTTTACTCAAAGTGGCACAACGGCAGCCAAACCACAGCTTGAAATATTGACTTTTTTTTATTATTACTATTATATTATTATTGTTTTCCACTCCTCGAGCCTTCAACTGATGTGCCATACATGTGTGTGTTGTGCCACTTGTGGTAAAGCATGAGGTTATGTCACATACTGAGCTTCTTTTAAGGGTTAATATACACTGGCTCTTGGTAATTCACTCATGACGTACGCACCATTGAAACATTTACACACACAATTTTAATCTTCTCTTCCCCCAGAAAAACAAGAATTCTCCTTTATTTATTTTTTTAAATATTTTTGAAGACAACAGTTAACAGTTCCAAAAATGGTGGCTCTACGATTGGACCGATCCCACCTACGTGAAGCCCTGTCCTTCCACACAAACATTTCAACAAGCATGGCTCACTGAGTGTTAGGAGAGAAGAAATGGTTGTCGTGGCGCCGGTCTGCCTGGCAGAAAGCAGGGGTGTGCATAGGTGTTAGCCACTTCTTCCCCAAGGCTCTGATAAGGCAGCTTTTCCTTTTATTTTTTTTACCGTTGTTGTTTTTGCTTCCACTTCAGGAGCCGTGTTTAGTGGTGAATGTCAGTGCTTTTATTTCTTTATTTTTTTCATAGCTGGTAATGTCTCAAAAACGAACTTCCAGGTCCACCGATTCGCATTTTGTGTACAAGGGAGCAGAGTAAAGACAGCCAGAGAAGAGTAGGCGAGACGTCGTGAAAACCGAGATGAGAGAATGCAGCACGCGTTTTCTTCATTGTCCATTTTGTGCAAACTGAGATGTAAACAAAGACCATCGAAGGCTGGGGAAGGAAGCATAGGACGTCAGGCTACAGCAACACGGGGAGAGACGACACAGAGGGGTGCAAGTGTGCTCGTTCAACAAACTGAAAGGCACAGAGGGCCGGTGAAATAAATAAGAGCTGAGGGAGAAAGAAAATGCCAAGTTTCCCGTGCTTTTCGTGTCACTCTAACTTGGACGTGGAGCTGAGGGAGTCGGTTGTCGCCACTATAGCAGCTTCTAATGTGCTTCAGAGTTCGGCCTGCTTGTCACAGGAGCCGAGGAGATTAGAGGGGAGAACGGAGTACCACAAGGAGTGCATTAAAAGGTCAACACGCACACAGGCAACCCCATAAGACTGCTTTATGGTCATGCTTGCTATTGTCTTTCCAATATTACCATCCATCATCAATTACAAAAGAAAAAGTACAAAATATCTACTACACTGCCCCACCACTCCCCACCATTCAACTATATTAGGACAGAACCATATTCACTTAGTTTTTTTAGTCATTTATATATATATATGTATATATTTACACAACAATATGCCTTTCAGGCTGTTGAGAAAAGGGGCGAGGAGGAGGATGAAGAAGTCTCTGTAATGAGACATCAGTCATTAGTTTCTTCGTTTCTCTCTTCTTCAATAACAGTTTATCTACAGAAATGCGATTCTGATGAGAGATGTGATTCAGAGTTTAGATTCCACGTTGAATCGGAGATGGATCGTCGAGGGCGATGAGCGAGTTGCCGTTGAGTGTATGTCAGTAGACCCAGGAGACGGGAACCCACTGAGGAGTGGTGGACACCAGGTCCACGGCCTCCTCCAGTAGGCGGATGGTGTCGTCGATCTCGTTGTTGATGATGGTCTGGTCAAAGTAGTGAGCGTAGGTTTGCTGCAGCATCTCCGACTCCTTCTGTAGCCGCTGAAGAGATTCGTCCTGGTGGAGCGAGGGGGGGAGAGAGAGTGACATCAGTGCCCGGCTTTGGCTGAAGTACAGAGGTGATGTGCTTCGAAAACGCTGAACTCTGCACGTGTTCTTAAACTGACCGTCAAGGTTAGATAATGTTGCAGCCACATTTTCTGCTTCAATTATTTAATGATGTGTTAATATTACACAAAGCAGGTAAGATAAGAGTCTCAGGATGTGGCTTTTGTAATAGTTTGAACTGGAAAAAGGAAGAACAGAGTCTGAATATATGACCCAATCATCTAATTAAAAGATGGCTCTTAAATAACTGCAGTATTTCTAGGGGTTAAATTGAACTAATTAGTTGTCTTTTAAATAAGTCTTATATATTAGGAAATGATGGAGTTAATATCTATAAGAATAAAGATGTAGCCTCATTTGAAATGGAGCTCAGCTCAGTGTTAGGGCTCAGGCCCTTGCCCTGTTCACTATAACTATAGAACTATTTACCCCAGTAACAGTTCTGAATACGAGGAAGGGAAAATGGAAGAGAGAGGTGGAAGCCTGATGAAACAACAAGGCGTGAAGTTGCATCACAAATGAAAAGGCACACAAACAAAGGGATTATTGGAGGGATTAGAAGGAATCAAAAGGTAGAGTAGTGAACGAAGCTAGACTGCTGCTATTTAAACAAACACAGAGGGGCACAGATGCTTTTCTACAGTCTCCAAACAACAAGTGAACTCGCACCATTTAATTTGTACTTACAGGCAGTTTCCTGCACCACTTTGGGACCTTGAGTGCACGTGAAAATAGGCATGCCAAAGGAAACACAAACATGCTTAAAGCAAACTGAGCACGTGCAGTGAGAGGAACGCACAGGACGACAGAAATGGAAATTAGGATGCTCTTTTAGGCTGGGCTGTCCAGTTTGAATTCAGTGTGTGGTCCTTTGACCCCTAACAGCTAAAGCAGCACCCTCTTGATTTACATATGTAATGATGCTCTCATCTGTTTTCCTTCAACAACACACCATCGTAATTCAGACTAGAAAGCCAGCGTAACTGTGCCATTAGTATGAACTCGGTTAGTACGTGCAGCAAAACATAACTGCCCAAGATGGGAAGAGCAAGTATAACAGAGAAGACCGTACCTCAGTCATGCCGGGGGTGATGGTGGGAGCCGCGATGAAGACGACGTATGGAGCAAACTCAGCTGTCCTGAGGATCTTTAGCGCCTGATGAGGAAAGAAAATCTTAAACTGTGTAGTTCACAAAGTGGCACATGAGACTGTTCTATCAGTGGAGAGGTTTTTTATACTGCCCAGACCTCCTATGTGAATTACTGCAAGTTCCAACATAAGGGTACTTTCACTTGAACTTATACTTGGCTTCTAGAGGAGATGGATAATTTTGGGGGGCTTCTGGTTGTACCAAGAAAATGTCCGAGCCGAGATGACTCGCCTGTGGCTCGACGTCTAGGATGGAGATCATGCCCTGGGCATGGATCTGCCTGATAGTCTCCAGCCTGGTTCCATACATGGCATCCTCGTGGCTGCCATACTCCAGGTAGTCGTTGTTGCTGATGTCCTGCATCATCTGCTCGTGAGAAACAAAGTAGTAGTTCTTTCCGTTCTCCTCGTCTTTCTTGGGAGGCCGAGTTGTGTCTGAGACAGAAGAGATGAATATAGAAGTTACACTCCCGATGATGACATTGTGGTGTTGCAATGGGTCAAACAGGAGAATCCACTTTGAAATTTAAATGTTTGAGTCATTAGTTTGCTGTCCAATCGGAACAAGAGCTTGTTGTGGAAGTATTTAGATCTTGCTCTTACGAGGAATAGGGTAGGCAAAGCGGTCGGGATGTTTGGTGATCAGCGTGTTCTTGATGTGCCTCCGACCGACTCCGTGTGCACCTGAATCAAAGCAGAAAGAAGAAATTAAACGCATTAGTGCAGTAACTCCACACAGATCAATCAGTTAGCTTTAAGTCTACGTTTAGTAAGTTGCAGCGTGCTGACAGGAGTCCTCCTTGCCAATCTACGCTATGATGAAGCGTTTATTCTCGCGTCCTCCACAGCTGTTGTCTGGTGTCCAGTATTTGCAGAAAAAAACTAATGTATATGTTTCCGAATTGATCTTTATAGCTGGTGCTTTCATTTGCACTCCCTTGTAATTTTAGAAAATCAAAACTGATTATTAATCATGCAGCCCAGCACAGTAGCACCTGGTTTAATGTGATCAATGAGCATCATCAATGTTCCTACTCCATTACTCTCTTGTAATTATGGAGAGTTTTCTAATAATTACAAGATCCTGTAATTGCAGCTGGTAATGGCTGATTCAGAATAATACTTTCTGTATGTGCTCTTCACAGGCTGTCTGAATCACTGGGCTTTTTTCTCAATAGTTTTTGGTACATCTTAAGTACAAAACAAGAAAGGCTAATTTTGGTTGTTTGGAATGGAAATAAACAAGCCAGACCGACAGGCTTACTTTGCAGTGTAGAGTTATTACACTAAGGTGGCAGCATCTCACCTGCCCACAAATATAACACCTGCTGATAAATGACGTCTCTGCTCCGAGTTTGTCTCTAGTTAACATTTAAAGGATATAAATGTGTATTTGTTTCCTGTTTTAAATGCACTGGAGATGTTACTTAGATGATCCTTTTTGATATTCAAGCATTAGCTTTGCCTTTTTAACTATGATGGTTAACTAAGCACACACACAAGTTGAAAACATAAATCAGAGCAACAAAAGTACTTTTTTTTTTTTGTCACACCCGAATGATATTCAAGTACACGTGCAGACTTCAGGAAAGTGTAAGGAAGGCACTGCAGGTTTTCTAATCATCAGATGGTTTGATGTTCAGTCCCCAAGTGAAAGATGGATGTGCTTCAGTGCCCAAAAACACGATCTTCTGCCATTTATCTGGTTTTGAGGGCAGCGCCTCTTGCCCCCGGTCTACTCTCAATCAGAAACCCAAACACCTAACTGGCTCCTCTCAGGCAGCAGCAGTAGTTCTACTCTTAGTCCCTCCAAAATGACCTAACCTGCAGCCTTTGGTCAAAGGTTAGGATGGAGATGTAGCTGTAATTTGAGCTCTCTTCACCGCAACAGACCAGTGCAGCATCTGCATAACTGCAGACACTGCACTAATCCCACCGTCAGCCTCTAGCCCCTTTCTTGCCTCACTTGTGAACAAGTTAGCTATACTTAAACTCCTCCACCTGGGACACCAACTTACAGTGGATTTATACTCTGTTAAATCGACACCGTAGGCACGCTGTAACCACAAACCCCTCGGAAAGCCTTACGGCACAACCTGATGTGCAACTATCTTGAAAAGCAGAAGAGCTACTGAACGGGCCAGTCGTGCAGGCTGCACGGTTTGTAGTTGTAGTCATTTGCTTTTCTGTGTTTACTTACCAAGTAAAACCAGCGTTTTTCTCTTAAATGACGGCAGTTTAACCACCTCCTCATATGTCACCAGATCTAGTTGATCAAACACTGCATCAGAGAATAAACAGGATTAGCTATAAGTATGAAGAGGGCATGCGTTACATGCTAATTATAATGGACAGTATGAACTACTTAAACATGTTTTAGCGTATAAAATGAACTCCATAGATGAATTTTGAAGCGTGTGCTTAACAAATGAATGCCTTGTTCTCTCTGGTAGGCATGACAAAACACAGCAGCCCTTCAATAAATCCTGCTTCATCAAACCTCATGTTGCCACTGTACAAGGGTATGTTGCTCCTAACTTTATATGAAGCAACACCTTTTGTAAAACTCCAGCCTTCATGAAGCAGAATGTATCACAGGGCTCTTTTCAGATCACTGTGCTGTCAGATGGGTGTGCCTAATAAGGTGTCTAAGGGAACACATGCAATGCTGATGCTAATGAGATTAACATTCATTCCAATGTTTTGTCCCTGTGGCATAAATCAAACCTGGGATTCTCAGTCAGGCGGGTTTGAATTATTCAAATGCCGCCATAATGTACACCAACTGCTCATTCAAACAGGCACACCCGATGAAGGTCGAATGCCTCGAGAAAGCATTAAAACCTACTTATTTGCACTAACCTTGGTAAAACAGAAAAACTGAATCAAGCTGACTAACATCTCTTTAATCTGAATTACAAACCAGAGCAGCTCATAACAAGTCTGACAAAGCCGCTGTCATTCAAAAGTCAAGGAGACATCAGGAAGAGGACGAGGCATGAAAGCAGAGAGAAGGAAGAAATACGTAGAAGCTGGATGCCAGCTCTCTGGAGTTACTTACATGCAGCCATGTCATTGGGTAAGAGACAGCATGAAATATGGACAAAGGGTGGGAGCGGAAGGGTTAATAAAAAGACACCATAAAAGAAGACAAATCAAACAAAAACCACCATAACAAAACTTGTTAACAGAGCTGTTAGTCACTGAAAATGAGGTCAAATTGAGACGGCAGCAGAAGAGGTCTGTCAGAGGGAAAAGGCAACAGACATGCAACAGTTACACATACAGGATCATCTACAGTCACTACAACAGGGGCAACAGTGCCGTTACAAGGTTAGCAATAGTCTTCATCACTTCAGTTGAAAGGACATGTGTCACAGTACTTCCTTTTTATTGCCCAAACAAGATATTAAGATTGTGACTGCACATTTATTCATCTACTGCACATTATCAAGGAGATATAGGAAAACAGTTCAGACAATGTAGCTTAGTTATATAAATGAATGAATAAGAACAGGTACTTGAGTACAGCAATACTTGATAGCTATTAAACCTTTGCTCATGAATCAAAGACCTCAAAAAATATTCTTGTTTTAGTGAAAAGGCTTCACTGCCAGGCTGCCTGACAGGACTTGACAATATCTGGGACTAGTTCCTGTCACCATCACCACTGCAACCCCTACTTAGGGTCATATTACAGTTCTGCATTAGTGAGCGGTCAAGTTACCTGCTTACAGTGAGTGAGTGTTAGTGTGACTTGTTGGCTTACCTGCGTTGTGCTTGGCCAGGTATTTGTCTTTGTACTGTTTCTTCTTCTTGCCAAACCAGGTACAGCTGGCCTGCTGTTCCTGTTTGGTCTTCTCCATTGCTATACATGCCACACGCCTGAAAGCAACACATGCACTGTTGAATGGCCACATGTGACCAAAGGTAAATGTCAGCATGTGAGTGTAGAAGGAATTTAGCATTTTACAATAATGCAGAGGGGAATCATTCAAAATAACTTTTACCCTGCTTTACATTTATTTATGCACACTGACACAAGCACCAGCATTATGGTGGAGGGACTAATGTTGTGAAGCTACCTCCATCCCCCTCTAGGATACTGGTTAGTTGCAGGCTTGAATCCTGGCAGGGGTGCCTGGCTTCACAAAGACTTCATGGCCAACATAATAAGGTGTGTTTTAAAATAAAAAGCTTCAGTCACTGATATGCATTTTTATTTTAAACTACAAACTTGTATTTTGATCTTTGTGATCGACAGCGTGCATATTTGTGAACTTGTGTGGTGACTGCCTACCGTGCCCTGGCTACTTGACAAGTGTGGTTCAGATGAACTCGGGCATGTAATGCCATCACTAACCACAGCAAACACAACAGGAAGCAAAACACTGAAATTTACTCAGGCCCAGGTTGTAAAATGTAGGTCAGTGGAAGAAGGACCAATCATTCTTATTGTTAGTACAATGTTAATACCACTCACAGCGCACATTTAACATATAAAGGCTGTCAGATTTACATTTTAATGTTCTCGTCAATGCAGTCTGGGATTCACACAAACACACTCCTTATTTTCAAAGGCTAATCGCTGCTAACCGGCCAGCCCGTCTCTTCCTGCCTGTTTTCCTTCTGTGTGGCCAGCTCACTGTGGCATTCTGCATCCACACAGGAGCGCAGAGGCCAGGCTGAATCCAGCAGGTGCAGAACTGGCTCATGTGCTGCTGCAGGGGAGTAGTAAACTAAGCTCTCGGTCCCCAGATAACAGGATTTCTGTTCCCGAGTTTGTCTTTAAATAACAAGAACATTACAAAGATAGAGTGCCTAGTTTTCCATAGTTGTACTACACAGCATGAGTACAGCAAGAACAGTAGTCTAAGTACATTTGTACTGTAAGCGCATCTGTGAAGTCATCCTTCAGAACCATGTTTCTTCTACACAATCACCAGCTGTCATGTTATTAGAGGTGCATCTGTAATCACTCAGGATGGTCTGGATATTTTTACTATTTAGCAGCCCTCCACTAACTTCATCAGAAAACTCCACAACAGCTAAGACTTGCTACAGTTTTAGCTTCAAACTGGCGTTGAATGTTTGCTGCACTCACCATTCCTGCAGTTCAGGTGAGGGGATGAGTCCGGCTGTGCCATTCTTGGTGTTCTCCAGCTTTCCTTGCCACCAGTTGTGGTCATCCTTGGAGATGATCTGAATGATGTCACCTACGCGGAAGCGGATGCCGGCTTCCTTGCATGGGATGAGGTCGTCTTTTGCCGGGTCGTACTCAAATTGAGCGCGTACATAAATCTGTAGGTGCAGAACAGTGAGAAAAGCATACATTAGGTGAGGAGAGGACGACAAGGCAAGCTGCCCTTATGAAGAGACCGGCTGCTACACTGGCAAGTAGTCAGAAATAAGACAGCAGTACAAAAGCCAGAGCAGGAAAAAGCACAAACACTCAGACTGATGAACAGCGGGACTAACGTGATCGAACAAAGAGCTTTGCTGCGTCTCTGCCTGCGGCTGGATTCGTTGGCTTGTGCACATACATCCATATTCTCTCTACTGATGAACTATTATGAAGCCTAAGCTTTGACAGCACACATGGGATCTAAGCACCATTACGATGAGGAACCAAACTTTGCGGGGCAGGGAGGGGAGGGCTGAGAGTCTACTTCTACGGAGGGTCCACCAAGCTCCATCTTACCTTGATGGACAATTTGTCCTTGATAGCAGGTCTGCAGATCTATGGGGTTGAGAGCATCACACACACACATACAGTATATCATGCAGTAGAAAATGTCGGGGGGAGTCAAGAAAAAGGTTATGAGGAACCCATACAAAAATACAAAGTTTGTGCTGCATTTTATATACATGTGTGTGTGTGTGATGATGGACTTTATCATGCAGAGGATATAAATGACAACTTTTGTTCTATAGTATGTGCTCTCTCTCTCTGATGGAGGCCCTACAGTGAAGACCAAGACTGTAATCAGAACAGGTGGAATGCGAAGGGGGGAAACACGAGTGATGTAGGTACATACATGCTGTGTAAGCACACCGTTGCATCGGGGGAGTGCACGTGTGGTGTAAACAGTTAGGAAATCTTACCTGACGGCCTTTAGGCTGAATAGTCGATGGCAGGTCCTATTTGGCAACACACAAAGAGACTTTTAGTATTTTAAGAGAACGATCTTAATCCAGATCCATTATCAAGACGATTTGTTGCTATGAGCTTTCACTTTTGGTCACCGTTACGCTGAACGTACCAGGATGGAGCTGGTCACACTAGCATGACCATTTGCAGGTGACTGTCGAGATAAATCCGGAGACTCTTTCTGCAACGGGATATAGAAACCTAAGGATTTAATTCCCCACAATGCACGTGAAACAAAATGTGTGCACTGATAGTTTTGTACCTCACAAGACATTGACTGGGATCGGTAACTGGGCACAATCTTGAAGGTGATGCTTCCCCTCATCTCTCTCTGTGGAGACGAAGAGCATTTTTTAAAAATCTTGAACCATTACAATAGTTCAATCACAGAGGGACCACTGTTGCTTTTATTCACCCCCTATTTCTAGTGTCCCCTAGTAGTTTTTTGGACATTAGAAGTAAACAGTTTTAAATGTTATTAATACTCAGGCACTAATAATGATGCTACTTGATGCCATCTTTTGGTACAATACATCACTAACATTACATCTTTAACATGCTGAATAAATTCAAACAAATGCAGTGATATCAGCTGAAAAACTGCCTGCTCAGAGCTGGTGTGACCTACCAGCATCTTCTGGAGCTGTTCTACCGTCTGATTAGCAACGCTGATGCCATTAATCTCCCGGATCTCATCTCCTACATGCAGAGTCCCTGAAGTGCAGAAAGAATGAATTAATAAAGGTTACAAACGAGGCTCGTGGGTGTTGAGACATCAGTATTTCACAAAGCAGAGACTAGGAACACCCGAGAGCCCAGCCAACGTAGAGTCGCGTTGTGTCACATTACCAGAAATCACTCCAATGTGAGAGTACAACATAAGAACTCTCACACTTTGTTACTCACAACACTTACTAGACGAATGAGGACATTTTAAATGTCATCACATATGACATGATTTACCTTGTCGATGGATCATCCCACCATGCATGATGCGGGCCACAATGCAGTGGTTGAGGTCGTTCATTTTCAGAGTAATGCCCTGGAACAGACACAGGGTCAGCGCATAACTATTCAGTTTTTTCAATTCAAGTTTATTTACATAGCACCAAAGCGCAAGAACAGCTGACTCAAAGCACTTTATATTGTAAGGTAAAGACCTTACGATACTACAAAGAAAACCTACAATTATAGGAGGAAGTGCTTTGGCGACAGTGGAAAGGAAAAACTCCCTTTTAACAGCAAGGAACCTCCAGGGCGGCTATCTGCCGCGGCCAGTTGGGGGTGAGGGGAAGAAGACAGGACAAAGACGCTGCTAATGTCCAGATGACAGCGTTTTCATTAGCCTCTGTGCCACACCCACCATTATACTCTTCTATTAGAAATAATGCTGAACCACATAATCGCAGTAGCTGTAGCTAATTTAGTTCCACTGTTGTTGACATAAAAAAGGTTTTAACTGTAGGTTTCTGAAATGTGAGCTTCCTGCACACACCATGGGCTCATCTGTGTTCTTCTGAAACTGAACCAGCCGAACCCTGGTGACATTTTCCAAGTCCATGTCTCCGTTGGTGCTGTCTGGGGAGTCTCCGTTCAGGTACGGTGAAGTAGGCGGGGGAGTCACCCTCAACGCCTCGTCGCTGTACACCTCGTGTGCCACCACATCGTGGGTCTGCAGCAGAGCCTGGACACAAACACTCAGTGTTAAGACTTGCAGACGATGAGAGCTCTTCCCTGTTTTGGATGGTGGTGTGTATTGGTCTGCCTTGTTTATTTGTATATTTTCTCTTTCACCCTGCAAGGGGGTTAACCGAGAGTAAAAATAAAGAGAAGCTTTATTTTCAGCAGCATGTTTTTGAGCTGTCTGCTCGCCTCGCTCTGTGAAAGTTTCATTTTCAGGTATTTTCTGTGAAACACTTTGGTACTCCTGTCTGTGACGGCACTTTATAAATACATGTTGCTCATTTGTGTTCTTTATGACATCAAAACCTTTAAGGGAATTTCTACATGTGACAAATACTGAACTCAAGGATGAACTAATTACAGTAAGGTGGTTTAAAAAAAAAAAGGTCATTGTGATCTCAACAAAAAGCTAACCTAAAAATATAACATTTGCAAATCATGACATTTTACAAATCTGTCTCATAGGTCAAAGACTAACTTCACTGCATCAGCGTGCCCTTTAAAAACATCACCTTAACTAAGAGGTGGAGAAGCTGACTCTCTGGTATCCACCTATTAAATTACTTCACAAATCTTTCATATATTAGATTCATCAAGACCACAGGTGTCAAACATGAGGCCCAGTAGCCAGAATTGGCCCAGCAGAGACTCTAATGCTGGACAGCAATGGAAAAAGTGAAGGAAGTCGTACATTTTGGACTTTTAACAGCTTTACCTTCACTCATAAAGATAAAGCCATTAATGCTACACCAGAGTAAAGGGCCAATGAAAATTCAAATGAAATGATGTTAAACACGTTTGTTTCCATTTAAGATTCATGCTGACGGATTTCTTCCATTAACTACAGCATTTCTTTACCATGTTGAAAATCTGAGATAAAAATCGCATTTCTTTTTCTCATATTAAGACATCTCTGGGATTAAATGTGTAATTAAAGTTCCTTACACTGACAGGGGTTTCACTGGTCTGCCCACTTAGGCATCTGGCCCACGATATAAAATGAGTTTGACGTCCCTGATCTAGACAGACAAACTGAGACTGATGTGCAGAAGCACAACAACAAGGCAGCAATTCTCCTTTTTCTTTAAAGGACCCCAGTGTGTGTGGGCCCTATAGATACGTGGCTATTAATGCCATGCTGTTTTAGGGTTATTCTTTCTGGGTGCGGTTTTTGTGTCAGTGCTGAGGCAGAAAATATTGGTTCAAGCTGGCCAACAAAACATGCTGCAAATCCCTGTCAAGAGAAGGTACGTGTGAGCACGCACAGTGTTTTTGTACGAGTGTGAAGAGAGTGTGGCTTACACTAATCCTCTTTGGGCACTAATCATGTCACTGACACACAGGGGTTTTTTTGGGTTTTTGTTTTTTTTTTAAACATCCACCAGCCCAGCTTGCCAAATGATCACAGCTGCTCATCAGAGCGACAGCATGTACACTGATGATGCATGACAGTCAGGGAGCTTTGGAACAGCTGGCACTAAAGGTTTTTGACTTGCAGCAAAGAGAGCAGCTGAAAAGAACAACTAATAACAAAGACGTTAGCGCGCATTTACAGGACACGTCAACAATGGACTAAATGTTTGATGCCGAATCCCCCTGAATCCTCACCGCTTAAGTCCATAATTAAAGGGAACAAAACATGTCCTTCCATCACTACTTCATAACTGAAGTGATTACTAAAATCATACAGCTCAGAGGAAAAAACTCAAAGGCGTTTTCTGCCCCATGTGCTGCCACACTAAGCCCCTTCACACCATTTCTGCTAGCAGCACAGTTAAATGTCTGTGGCAGGATTAAGCAGGCAGTCAGGTCAGGGTGCAGGACAGGCTAATTGGATTGAACCAAACTTAAAGCATGACAGCTGCAGTTAAGTGTCACATACCGATTCAGCAGAGAGACACACAAACAGCTCGGCTTCTTATGTTTCTAACCCAGATACAGAACAGCAGTACCATCCTACAGCTAGCTGCTGTGGATAGCAATACACACACACACACACACACACACACACACACACACACACACACACAGTAAAAACAACCCTATTCTGACTTAAATACTTTGTTTAATACAAAGCTACTCTCGACTAGAACCTCAGTACCTTTACATGAACGCCACCACTAACTTCTTCTAGCTCAGTTTCTATCTTCCAGGTCTTTCATCGGTATCCTCGGCATCCCTTCATCTCTGGTTTGTACTGGCCGCTAGAATCATCTGACGATAGTCTAGCTGATGCAAAGCCAAAGTATCGGCACTGCTTGCAGGTGGAAGCCCTTTAGTACATGCTCTCTTCAGCTCTGCTGTCTGTGCCTTTCCTGTGCGAGCGCTCACCAAAAGCTCAGGTGCTAAGCAGATTTGTAGTCCAGGGAGTTATGTGGGCTGACAAAAGGACCCAACTTCTGACACAGAAGGCTGTAATCCCAATTCCTAGATTAAGAATGAGTGTGCTGCCGTATATCCCACCATGAAGTGTGGCTGTGTGAGGATCCTCCTGAGCTCCTTGGCCTCCATATTCTCTGGGTAACAGGAGATGGTTTCCAGTACCTGCAGAGGAAAATAAACTTTTAGAGGCGAGCTCGTGAAGACGATCTATAAGCTACACTTCAGAGAATTTAGAAGACATTTTTATTTTTAGATTTCCTCACCTCTTTGGCTCTCTGCACTCCGTCACTTGGAGGATTTCTGATCTGAGGGGACGACCTGGTGTTGATTTTGTCATAAAGCTGAAATAACAGCAACAGCAAACAGCTCATGACATTCAGGAGATAATGCAAGCAAAGATGGAAAGCCCAAGGAGCCGTGTGGAGCATACATGTGGTTTACAGTGGTCCCTCGCTATAACGCGGTTCACATTTTGCAGCCTCGCTATTTCATGGATTTTTTTTTGTGCTTTTTTTTATTACAGCGCATTGTGTTCAGCATCCTGATTGGCTGTAGGCCATTGTCAATCAATCTCCTCCGTGCTGTGTCTCCCGTACAGTACAGAATGCGTTCAGCTTGTCAAATTTACATAAATCTTCGATCGCTAGCAGCGTGACTCTGAAATGCTGTACTGTATGTTTGTAAGTTTTCCCCAACAAACACAACAATGTCCATGAAACGTTTTGCAGCATCAAAAGCAATCGCTGGACTTATTCTTCTACGAAGGTTTGAACTTTGAGAGTGTTTAAACAAGAGAGAAAAGTGTCAAAATGCTCATGCCTCTCTGAGAAAAGTGTATAAAGTGTGTAGTGAGGGGTTTTACAGCCTTAAAACATCTATAATAGTTGGAAAAAAATAAAGCTGGCTACTTCGCAGATTTCACCTATCGCGGGTTATTTTTAGAACGTAATTTCTGCGATAAACGAGGGAACAATGTATTGTTGATTTGTCATGGCACCTACTGGATACTTTAGATACTGCAGAGGAAGCGTTTACTCACATCTAACAGAGTGTGGAGGTGCTGGTCCTGGAAGACACTGTGCAGGAAGTCCATATCTTTCTCACTGCAGTCTGTCAATGCATGGATCTCCTCTAGACTGTCCAAAACCTGTGATACTGCCCCTGTACACACACACACACACACACACACACACACACACACACACACACACACACACACACACATACACACACATTGTTACGTTACACACTCCAAATATACACTCACTCATAATTACACAAACATTCACAAGTACACAAAGCAGTCTCTTCAACACTACACAAAATGCAAACACTGAACATGACACACTACCAGAAACAGGCAAAAACACAAACAAAATAAAAACAACAAATTCCACAAATAACCCCAAAAAAAAAAGAAAGAAAGAAAAAAGAAAATCACAAACAGTACAAGTGAAAACACTGGAATACACACACACACACACACACACATACACACAAACACTCAGAACTATTGAACCCCAAGTACCTGCTGCATCGCCCACACATGCAGCAAAACCAGAGAAACAGCGGTACATGGCATCAATACATCAGAAGAAAGTCAGTTCAAAAAGTCACAGTGTGGATGACGAGGAGCAGCACTCCCAAGGAAAACAAAAAAAACAAAAACGCAGCAGGGAGAGAATTACAATCTGACACACAACGTTATTAAAATTCTTCTCAGGCCGTGTAAACATGAACTGTGTGTGAGAGAGAAACAAAGTTTAAAAAGGCTCAGAAAGATCACGCCTTAAGTGAAACCACAAAAGTGTCACCAATTTAACTCAGTAACACTTCAGCTCACAGTTTGACAAAGCCTGCGAGGCCAAGACACGACTTCTGTCCTTTATAAAGATAAAGATTACATAAAGATTAAAATTACATCTTAATTTAATAAACAGTTAATTATTCAGACTTGCAGACTTGAGGCGGTTTACTATAAGTGAAGCTTTGTTTTAGAGGAGCTTGAGCCTGTTTTGCTCAGTTATGAAGGAAACCTACAAAAAGAAGCCTAAAAAACTAAAGCTGAGCTGAAGAAAATACGCGAAAGACTTTGTTCTAAATATGTGCAATAACTGACGAACAGAGGGCTAATCGGGAGTTCTGTGATGTATGAAAGATCCAGCAGAGGAGAGTTTAAGCTGTTAAAAACTTCCTCTTTTTTAGCACATTTTAGTGAGAGCTCTTTCTTCAACTTTAAAGAGCTCTCACACTCTATTATATAAAAATAACCGGTGAGTCATAATGTTATAAAAGGCTAAAGATTTAAAGAAGAGAATACAACACTTCAAAACGTGAGGCCTTTACACACCGGACGTGGTGGACTGTGTGAATATCGCATGTGTTTTAAAAAGTTTTTTTTGGACTCGTATGTTCTAATTGCAGCTGTTCACACTAATCGCACAATTATGCTCAATAATCTGCAGATCGAGTTCTTTTTTTCCTGGTTTTTCAAATGTGAACAGACCGATCTGACCAAGCAGAACTTCGAATTTGAACTTTGATTCGAACTCAAATATCGATTGTTTCGATACCAAGTCGGTATCGGATTGATACCAACCGGGTGAGATCGATTCTTTACTTTAAGTTCCGCTCTTGTTTGCAGTGCTGTGGTTTTGGCAAAGACCAAACAGCCAGGTCGCCAGATTCGCCGCTCCTGTGTGAGCGCAGAGCAGGCACACTCTCCTGTTGCTGACTTAGACGCTTGTTAAGTTGTTTACATATTATTTATATTTTCACCAGTTGTTGTTTTTGTTGTTGAGAATTTTAATTGTCATTTTTGTATTATAGTTTCTCAACAGCACTTTTAATTGGTTTACTGGTTTGCGAGCACTTTTTATTTAAGATTTTTCAAAAAAAAAAAAAAAATTTGATTATATTCATTTTCTATTTAATTATAAACTATGTCCTAATTATGTCCTGGGTTTAAACTATTTAATAATAAAAAAGGAAACATCACAAAAACACTTAAGGTCATGAAAACTAATTGAAATTTAGCGATTCAATGACGCATCCACCTTATTTATCGAAAAGTATCGCTATAGGCGACACTGGCCCGTATTTACTTGTTGTCGGATCGATACCAAAATATTCAGTATCGCACACCACTACTTCCTTTCCTTGTTTAGAAACATCCATACAAGCTCATCACTGCTTGATGTGGATTTCTTTTCTTTCTTTTTTTTTTCCACAAGCTCACGCATGCAAAAGAATTCTGAATTTCATGTTGTTTTTATCGAAACACGCTCGGTGCGTAAAGGCCTGTACACAGCAATTAAAGGCTGATTTATTAGTGCATGAAGACAATGATGTTTAGTTTACAAACGCAGCTAGAAGTAGTCAAAAATGCTATGATAGTGTAATGAGTAATCATTTAAATGGGAACTAGTTTATTCATTTCATATTTTTATTCTTGACCTCTATCAGAGCAGCATCTAAGTTCAAGAATGACCTTTGTGTAAAAAAGATAAATAAATCTGTCTATCTAGAGCACAATAAGTGCCCTTTAGTTACCAGCATAAATTTGGGAGACAAAGTGGTTTACAGGAAGCTGTGAGCACCAGTAAAAAGCAGCTCGCTCTGAAAAGTGGAGATAAAAGATCTTATTGTTAGTCAGGACACTGAGGATGCAAGCATCTTATCGTCTTTACTTTTGTTTTTGCTCACTGCACAAACTACTCATCAGCACGTCTTAATCTGGTTGTCAAAGCTTCACGTTGCCACAATAATGGAGATGCATGTGTTTCATCTTCACAAGTCAAAAGGAAGCAGTCAGAATAAACACACACCAGAGCAAAATAAGTTCTTTAAAGAGGGGACAGCAGAGGAGACAGAGGCATGGAGGATTAATACCCACATCATTCAACACATGGGAGAAATGCAACTACAGAGCAAGTGATGTCATGGTGATATCACATCCACAATCTATGAGTGTGGAGGGGGTAAGAGGAGGGGGTATACGTACTTTCAGCAGCTAGCAGTCCTAGAGACAGCACAGCAGAAGGAGAAAACAACACCAAAGAAAGAGAAGCTGAGATTAGAGGAGGTTTAAAAGCAACTACGGCTGCAGAGAAGAACAAAAAACAAAACGCAGCTACGGCAGACAGAGAGAATCAGCAAAAGCAGCTAAATCTGGACAAAGTCTGCCGAGCTGCTGCAGGGATCTACAACGCAACACGTCTAGTCGAGCAACATGTCTGAAGCAACACAGCTGCAAAAATAAAACAGTCACCAGGAAGCATGACTGCAGCAGACTGCCAGCCTCAGCACAACGGACATACGAGTCCACGCGGCTGCAGCAGCTGCTTTTACAGCACAAATTCGGGGGGAAAATAAATAATTAAATAAATGAATAAATAAACAAAACAGGTTAATTAGGCTGATCCCGCTGATTAGCTGACACTGAAACGCACTCGGTTTCTATCGTTTAGAACTGGGTCGAGTTTCGTTGTGTTGCTCAGCTCTGGCCGGCACGGCCTGCAGTCTTCTCAACAGCAGAAGTGAAAGTGTAACGCTGAGACAGGGAAGTGAGGCTGCTGTTGGGAAATGTGTTCATTAAACAGGGAAGCTGTGCATCGACAGCTGCTTTTCACAAAGACACCAGAATAGAAACCACGTGAGCACAAACAGAGCTAGAAAGCAATTGTGATCATCTTCTGTTGCGCAACATGCACACACTGAACACTTTTAAAGAGGGTTTCAATAATTTAATCCATCCATTAAAATAACCTTACTGTAATCAACACCATTTCGCTGTCCTTCAGGTTATATTTGAATTAATGCAGCATGCTTTTCACTTCTTTTAGGCTCTTTGTCATGCACACAAACAATCTAATACCTGCGTCTCCCTGTTGCAAACACATTTAGAGGAAAAAGTCTGCCTGACAGTTACCTGAGGAGGTGGGATCATCTGAGAAATCATGGAGCTCCTCAGGGGGGTCACCATAGTAGGAATTAAACTTGTGGCTGGAAACAGCAGCCAGCACTGCACCCTGGGACAGAGAGTAGGGGGTAACATGGATATTAAGTGAAATATACGTATATAAATAGATGTTATATATAAGAGTTTAAAGTGTTTAAAAGGTTGAGATGAGAGTAAAAATTCTGCCAGCAGCTTAATCTGGGTCATTAGAAACATCTGCACAGAGGGGATGTGGAGAGACTTCCTCTCACACCGAAACCTTTCCTCTTGGAGTCTAATAACACTGCGCTAACCTTCAGCTTCCTCCTGGCGTTGAACTTTCTCAGCTGCTCAACTGTTTCGGGCAGGTGGATCTTGTAGGCATACCTGTCCCTCTCCTGCATTTATTGGGAATCACAGGCATAAAGATGAAGGACATTAGCGCTCGCACAGAGACAGTGAACGGATGTGAAAGCAGAGCTGTGGTTCTGAGCAAAAGGAAGTGTGCTTGAGTTAACATCAGTCAGGCCAGTGGTGTAAAGGTGAATTTGAGCTTGCGAAAACATTTACAGCAGGCAACAAATATTCACGCCCGTTTCTGGGTTTTTAAAATAGTAAAGAGGAAATCAAACAACACTAACCTCCTACAGCTGCAGAGATGTGAAGTGAGAGTATTTTTATTTGCATTCAGTTAATTTGAATGTTAGCCGTATGTGCATGTGTGTGTGTGTCTTGTGATCTTGCCTTCAGCCAGGGGTGGTTGAGAGCCTCATAGACAGTGATTCTCTCAGCAGGGTCAAGCATCAGCATGCGCCTCACCAGGTCCTTGGCGCTCTCAGAGATGTGAGCCCACTGGCGGGGGTTCATCTGAAACCCAGAGAAATATTCAGAAACGCGTGAAGTAGCCAGGATGGCAGCCGAATCTGGCAGTAATTAAAGATCCAAGGACAAATTACACACCATTTAATGCTTCATAAATAAACCCACATCATTTTTCTCCCCACTGTTGTGCAAAATGTTTCGGTGGTTTGCTTCATTGTTTTACAGTTTGTTTTTTTTGGCAGCAGCTTGATGGAAGATAGCAACGGTGTTGTCCATCACTCTGCACACTGCGACTGCATCTGCTACAGATTAGTGCACCAAACAGGAAACTCATACTCTGCTGAAAGCAGATAATTCATCAGACCTTTATCTTAGTTTTTTTCTGCTGATACAGTCACTTTATTCATCACCTCTCACATTCTTGTTGTGTGAGAGGAAAAGCTGAAGACACCGGGGGGGGAGAGGAAAGGCAGGCCGCAATTTGAAGTTCTGAAGTGATGTGGTAAAAGCACTGCATTCAGTTCCTGTAATCCAAGACCTCAACTTTGTATCTAACATGCAAAACAGCACAGTTCAGTCTGAGCCTCAGGGCCAAAGCACAGGCCGTTTTGGCATTTAGCGCCTACCTTGTATTTCCCTTTGATGATAGCCTCAAACAAGCGCTCCTTGGTGCCGTAGAAAGGCAGGCAGCCGGACAGCAGAATGAAGAGGATCACTCCACATCCCCACACATCTACCGGTTTGCCATAAGGCTCCCTTTTCACCACCTCTGGGGCCATGAAGTGGGGCGTGCCCACTCGACCTGAGGAAAGAGATAAATTTCATACACTACGCTGATACACTTTCATGATGAACTTTTTATTATTATTTAAAACACATTTAAACAAGCCCGTCCCGTGCTCTTTTTTTTTAGAGCGCTGCTGCTTGGAGAATATCTCACAATCCAATACGAGAGAGTCAGCGTGGATAGCTCAGACAGTTACATGTTGTGATTCATCTAATGAGCATGTCTTTGGACTGTGGGAACAGACTAGGGCTGCTCGAGGAGACCCACATAGACCTGCTTACTCATATCCAAAATACTGCCTGGTCATTTCGCTCAATCCAGCCTAAACCACAACCAGTGAAAACCTGTTTCTAATAACGTGGCAGTTTTTATTAAGTAGGATATTTTTATTGAAACATTACAAAGAAACAAACAAATCTATTACATTTCATTATTATTAAGGTTGTGGACAGAATGTAAGTATGAGTGAGACGTACAGTAAGGGGGGAAAAACCCGACCTTTAAAAGAGACTATGGAGGTGACTGCATACGTAAGCATTAGTCTGCGTGAAGTCTGTTACCTCATTAACAAGTCGGTGCACTTTGCTGTCATTTCTGCATAATTGGTAACCACAGGTGTGGGGGAAGACCTACACTTGTTTTGTGGGCCACCTGTAATCACGGAATGCAAGAAAACCCTTGAAAAGTGTTTCACTGTACCTCCGGCTACTAAACCAGACTCTCCCAGCTGGATCGCCACTCCGAAGCCTCCGAGTTTCACTGGAGCAGAGTTCTCCTTTGAGGCCAGGAGCACACAGTGAGGCTGCACAGGAATGAAAGACACGCGTCAGCACAGTGCAAATGACGACAAGCTAATACTTGGTACAATTAGGGCCCGACTGATGCGGGACAGTCCCAGCAGACTTTAAAAATCACACTGACTTTTTTTAAAATAAAAGAGGCACAAGCACAGACACTGCAGAGAATTGCTTTGCTCTCTGTGCAAGAGTGCAAGATTCCATTATGTTCAAATGGTGGTTAGTGTACCCTGGTTTCACTTGAGCTTGCACAAATCTGACAGTGCGTTCAAAAGGAGATGCACATTTTTTGTCTCACACTTTGTGTGCTACAGAGCTCGGTGTTGACTGACTCCAGCAGTGAGCAATGGAGGTAATTCACAAAGCTGAAGAGACCTTTTTTAACCCTCCAGTATGCTTTTTAGATTCTGGTTAATTCATTTATTTTAGAAACTTGGCAGGATACAGGCAGACACGTACACGTATAGCAAACATTAATATATATACAAAAACAACAGAAACACACACATTAGAGAACAAGTTGAAAAGTGCCTGGAAGTAGCACAAAGAAAGAGACTGTATGTACTTAGGCTTGTGTGAAAAAGGTGACACCGAAGCTTCACCATGTAGTCACACAGGACTAGTACTGCAGGTCAGAGGCAGGTAAGAAAATATTTGCCGAGTGCCGTGATAGCTGCTGCTAAATTACAACGGCTAGTTTATTAAGGAGAAGGACATTAAGCCAACCGCGTTCACCGGCAGACTTGTAAAAACTGCTTAATCAAAATTGTTATGACAGTTTACTTAATATCTAATTCACTGGACAAATAGTGCGGCGACTCGCCATGACCCAAAGCTTTCTGCGAGGAAAACTAATCAGCTGATGTCAGCGGCTGATGAGCAGCGAGGACGCTGTTGCGTGGCACGTTTTCCATCACGGGTTCTGTGTCAGTGGTAATAAAACTGCTTCCCATCACAGTTTCACATATTTGTTCTTTTATAATAATAAATCCAAGTTGCACACCTAATTTTTTTAAAAGACAACAAATGAAATGATGGGTTTCAGAGATGTGGATGCAAATTGGAAATAAAATTTGTTTAAAATGTTATCAAATGTTTGTTAAATGCAGTATTCCTCTCAGGTACATTCATCTTACTGT